GTAGGAAGATAATATAGTCGGCGGTGGTTGGCTTTAAAAATCAACGGGCGAGCGTCAGCGAGCCAACTCCGCTAGTACAGTACAGTACCCGTGTCTCTGACGCGGTAAGCTCGATCGGCCTCACCTGCCGAAAACGTCAATTTGGCTCCGAGTGCAGAAGGACTCAGGGTTGTCACTCATGGCACTCTATATTTCGTTCCTTCCCTTGTAGTGCTCATAACCTAACTGCTTTGCTGTCGGGTGCTGTAACAAAAAAATTGAACTGAATGAGGAAATCGAGTTCCGACGCCGAACCAGGCACTGAGGCGCTGGGGATTCCGTATACCCTTTCCCGATTAGGCAGTTCCACTCCGACTTACACGACTTACATCGTTGAGTTTTGCAGATAAAGACATACAAGTCACAGTTGCATATATGAATGCTGCTACATTGATCACTACTTCTGTATCAGGTAGTACTATCCCCTAGCACACCTCCCAAAATGAGCGTCCCAGAACCAAACAAAGCGCCCCTAAATTCAACCCTTGACTCTCGAGACGGCACATCCTCCACCGACGACTCTGAACATGAACCCACCAGCCCTGAGTCTGCCCCCATCTCCCCCAATGAAGATGGCGCCGACGATTTTGTACGCGGCTTCCGCTTCTGGACCATCATCATCGGGCTCAGCGTAACCAGCCTGCTCGCCTCCCTCGAACACACCGTCATCACCACCGCCGCGCCCTACATCCTGCAGGACCTCGACCTACGGGAGAACTTCGTCTGGGTGACCAACGCTTTCTTCGTCTGCAGCACGGCCCTTGCGCCACTATTCGGTCAGCTCTGCAACATCTTTGGCCGCCGCTGGGTGTTTATGGCCATTGTAGCGCTGTTTACCCTCGGCAGCGGTATCTGTGGCGGGGCCAGTTCGGGGTGGATGTTGATTGCGGGAAGGGCTATTCAGGGGGCGGGATCGGGCGGGATTGTGTTGACGACGAATATTATTGTGAGTGATTTGTGTCCGTTGAGGAAGAGGGGGCAGTACATGGCGGTGATTTTGGCGATCTTTGGGATTGGGCTGGCCATTGGCCCGTTTGTGGGGGGTGCGATCGCGCAGAATTCAAGTTGGAGGTGGGTTTTTTACATGAACCTGCCCATTGGTGGCTTGTCGCTCGGGATTATGTTTTTGTTTCTTCGTGTGGGTTCCGTCAATGAGGGATCGTTGACGGACAGGCTGCGACGGATCGATGTGGTGGGGAATGGCATTCTCATGGCGGGCACGACGGCGATTCTATACGCTCTCAGCTACGCGGGGAGCATCTACCCGTGGTCATCATGGCATACCCTCGTCCCGATGCTTATGGGGCTCCTCGGAATCGGTCTATTCGCGTGGTTCGAGCTCAGCGGCATCCCAGCCGAGCCCGTCATGCCCGCGCGGCTGTTCAAGCATCGCACATCGATCGTCGTCTTTGTCAACACCTTCCTTAACTCGGTCATCTACTTTTGGTCTCTATACTTCATACCCGTCTACTTCCAGGCCGTGCTGCTGTACTCGTCCACCCGCGCGGGATACTCGCTGCTCCCGCAGGCCGTTGCTGGCATCCCTGGCGCCATCATCGCGGCCGTTTCGCTGAGCCGGTGGGGCAAGTTCAAGCCCATTCACTTTGTGGGCTTTGCCATGTCCACGCTTGGACTGGGCCTTTGTGCTCTACTGGACAAGAACACGTCGATTGCCGAGTGGGCTGTCTTTCAGATCATCATTGCCTTGGGCATCGGCACTGTCATTGACACGCTGCTGCCGGCTTTTCAGGCCCCCTTATCGGAGGCCGACCAGGCCGTGGCCACGTCGACGTGGAGCTTCATTCGGGGATTTGGATCTATCTGGGCTGTTGCTATTCCTGCTGTGATCTTCAACAACCGCATCGACGAGCAGCTGTCCATGGTCTCGGATGCCTCGGCGCGCCAGTTACTGGGCGGCGGGGGTGCCTACCAGCAAGCGTCTGCCAGTTTCGTCGAGCAATTCTCTCCGGCGGTGCAGGAGGAGATTAAAGACTTGTACACGTCGGCTCTGCACCGCGTGTTTTGGGTTGGCGCCATCTTTTCCGGCCTCGCCTGCCTGCTTGTCCTCGTCGAAAGCGATGTCCCGCTCAGAACGCAGCTGGAGACGCAATATGGGATTGAGAAGAATAAGAAGGAGAGAGCAGAGGACGTGGAAAACGGTTTTGGCAGGTCAATCTGAGAATGGACGGGAATAGGGGGGAGAGACGGGATGGTAGATCGACGATAGAAGGCATTTCAGCCTCCCCATGAAGGATCTGATAGATTTCATTACAGCTCTAGTAGTGATTGTAATCTGACCAGGACACTTTTTCTACAATATAGCAGAATGCAAAAAGTAATTCTCTGCGTCAGATAGACCAAGGCGGTCAAGAGAGTGCCCCTGAGCCCCTGAGCCCCTGAACCCCTGAAGCTTGGACCATCTACCGGAAAGTAAACAGACGGGACATGTAGCTTTCTAGATTCACCCCCTCAACAAAACCACTGTTTGATAGCCCTTGTAGACTTGTAGACAAAGGCAACTTAAATTATTACCTTGGCAGCTCCCTACCTAAGCATGCACCTAACCATCGTGTAGGTAGGGGGGAAATATCATTATGTGACGGCTAAATCTAGTCCCGGATCGGCAGTCCTGCATTCTTTTCTGCTGGCAACATAGATCTGTACACTATAGCACCGGATCTCACTTGCAACTGCCGGACTCTTTAGACCCGGTGATTTACGCCAAACAGGGCGGGATGGGAGTTTTCGAACCCCTCATCCCCCTCTTTCGCGACATAGAAAACAAACCGAGGCGCCCCCCTTATCCAACATGAAGACACACTTGCAGGGAAACAATACTTCCTCAATTCGCAAAGCAGGTGCTCGACGTCCTTCAAGTTAAACCCCAAAGAACAACCATGATCCGCTTCCTCTTACCCGGCCTGACTCTGGCCACACACGCCGCAGCCGCATGCTCCAGGGCAGCGCTACAGGAAGTTACTGCATCATACATCCGCGCGCAAACTTCAGGCAAGCCAGACGAGCTTCATCTCGCCAGCAACGCCACCTACGCAGAGAACGACAAGCCCATGTCCATCACAACCGGCGTCCTCTCCCAAGCCATCACGATCGACTTCAGCCGGAGCATCCACGACACAGTCGAGTGTGCCACTTTCACCGAACTCACCGCGGCCACCTCCCCTCACCCGTACGTGATCCACACCCGGATGATAGTCTCCCCTGCCGCCGCCGCAAACATGACGCCTGAGATAACGGCCATCGAGTCGGTCGTAACCGATCAAGGCGACTGGATCTTCAACGCGACAAGCCACCTGTACTGGACGCAGCAGGAGAAGTGGGATCCTATCCCCGAGAGCCAGCGGGATACACGGGAGACAATCAAAGCCGCGGCTGACGCGTACCTTGATCAATGGGCCAATTCGACACTGCCCGTCCCTCTGGGCACACCGTGCGCTAGGCTTGAGGGCGGGATATACACCGGCCAGAGGGACCCGGCGGCGAACACGTGTCGTATGCCGGCGTTTCCGGTCCCGATCAGGGCGGGGAATCGGAGATATGTCATTGATGAGGAGCTGGGGGCCGTGGATGTGTTTAATGGGTTTCCGTGGCTGGAGGCGACGAATACGGATGCCGCGATGCCGAGTAGTAATTTGGTGAGGGTGGAAGGCGGGTTGATTAGGTATATCCATGAGGTGACGGTTTGTGAGACGACTATGTGTGGAAGATGAAGAGTCCGAGGGTATTCATTCTGAATTCTGAATCAGAATACTTACATGTATATGTTCAAAGCTCCCGAGTCGTCTGGCCGAAGCTGCGTAGCACGGTAGGCGGTGTTGATCAAGACAAAACTGAAGAGTGACGGGCTGTGATGCACCAGCTGTCTAGTACTGCTAGGTAGTACCTGTAAATTAAGCCAGAGGCGGAACAGCCAACGACTTCCTCGGCAATGAGTTCGTATTCTTGCGTTGGTTCATGTTCCTTGGCCCTGGGCCTGAAGAAGGTTGAACGACCGGGGAAGTAAAATGGAACGCGAACATCGGTGCAGCGGAGCGCCTGAAGAGTGAAGACGAGAATTCTGATTTAGTGAAGACGCATATCCACGCCTATCGCCCTGTAATCAAGGGCTGCCGTCGCCTTGTAGTTGAACTTCGCCGACGCCAAGGGCGCTGAACGTTGCCAACGCCCTGCAATTGAACGTCGTTGCGGGTGGATGGGTGGGGAGGTGGGCGTGGTTGCGCCTGCACCGCCTGGCCGTAAGTGGCGGGTATGGGGGCCGGATGGTGGGTGCACTGCCTCCCTGTTGAGTGGGAAGGAGGATCATGGGAAACCTAGGAAACCTGTCAGCCTCTTTTCTTCCTTCAACCCCCAACTCGCCGACAATGAATACCTACACCCATTCTTCAGTGTGCGTTTTTCACCCCCGATAGGTGCCCGCTCGATCATTAATGCAGCATTAGGAGCAATCCGACATCGACATCGTCACGGTGTTTCACACTGGCTTTGGCTTCAATAGCCTCCAGGGGGCTGCGCACCAGGGTTACCTATACGCTTCGCGCCCCGGAATCGCTGCTGAGACCCTCGGTATCATCAATTGAAGAAAACCGCCGAAGCGAGGCAACTAGTTGAACATCTACTGGTAATCGGTGATTTAGCGGCTGCAGCCTTTTCCTCGATACTAGGAATCAATGCCATCCACCGAGAAACTCTGACTCCTCGTCGGAGTCTGCTTCGTCGCATGCGTGACCGCAGACTCCGAAGATGATCTCACCGACTTCACCAACAACCTCTTTAGTGATTTGGCTCCGTACGTGTGTCGCGGTTCCGCTCAGTGCAGTCCACGTGCTAACCGGGTGTCGCACTCAGCTTGCTGGCTCTCTTTGGAGAACGAGTTACCATGCAGTTCATGAGCCAGGCCACAGGCTGGGCTGATAACATCATCCTAGCCATGGCCCCCTTGGGAATAATCACCGCCATCGTGGGTGCAATCCGCGTAGGTGGCCCGTCGTGGCTCAAAGCCATCATCGGAAGGGCACGAGAGAGTCATGCCGTCGCCGAGTCCGAGCTGATGTCATCCAAATCTAACGAGGTGTGTGAGCTTTGGAACGGCCACGAGATCGTGAGAGTCATGGGATCGGGGCCGATACGGGAATTCGTTGTTCTGTTGCCAGAAAGTGGCGGTGAGAGTGAAGACGGGGTAGACGAAGTCCATTCAGAGACAATCGTGATGAGAGTAGAGGATGAGGGAAGCCAAAAATATCTTAAGAATCAAGGTCAGTAAAGCTGTCAATCCTAGGTGGCTGTATCTCACTTCTTCTTAGCACCTAGTATTCGGGAATGCATCGCCGGCAAGCTTCGGCAGGAAGATCCGGAGACTGGTGGTTCCGCAATACCCGGAAAACGCCATCCTCTAGTTGTTGTTCGAAATACATCAGCCGCCACGCCAAACCTCACCCTCAACGTCGACAACCAAGTAGGCAGGGGTGAGCTCTATGCGGTTGCGGCAATGGGTATCGTCCTTCAGTCTGCCGTCCTCGTGTATTGCGGACTTGCTGCTCGGTATTTTATGGTTGCTGGCTATGCTTTTCCGTGCACCGCAACTGGCACGTTGCTCTTGCTCACCGGCATGCTGCTCTGTGCCCATGTTGTCGAGGGAAGCACGTCGGAAACAAGATACCGCCCAGGACCCGGAAGGGAGGCTCGAGTTATCTGGCTGCAAAAATCGGGGACCGTCAACGACCAATCTTTTGAGCCCTTTGCTATTTTTCCTCAAGAAGCGCAACCGCTAATCACCACATCTCACCGAGTTGGCCGGGGTCAAGGACACAACGGGGAGATCAAGAAGGCCAGCCATGACGTGGGAGCCAACATACGAGCGACCTTCACGGTTACAGGCGTACTCATCAGTGTCTGCGGCTTCGTTGTACAGTTTACCGGCCTGCGCGGCATGCACTGGTCAGCCTCAATCGCTCAGCTTGGTGCAATTATCGTCATGACTGCCCTTAGAGCTTGGGTCCGTCGAAATCTCGCCAAGAATCCGATGGCACTTCCCCTGGTTTCCGGGCACGAGTTAGATTGGTTGGCCATGACCCTCGGAGATTGCCGCAAGGCCCCTTGGCTGCATCCCCAAGAAGTTAAGGGTGCTAAATGGTCATGGAAAATTGCCGCTGTCGAAGATTTGGAGAAGCCGGAGGAGGCCGAGGAAGACGAGGAAAACGAGGATAACGAGGAAAACGAGGAAAACGAGGAAAACGAGGAAAACGAGGAAAACGAGGAAAACGAGGAAAACGAGGA